TTTACCTCATGAGTAATTTCCATGGTGAGGTGGCATACTATATGAAAAGCCGGCGGATCTGCGTATGCTCCACCACAAACTCGCGTGAAGTTTACTGACAATGCTGCAGCAGTAGCGAAGTCCCACTTGCGTCTATGCCTCTTATCTCACCGTGGATCTCTGCAATCTATGGTCAGAAATGAAGCATACGGGTAAGTGGGACTTGACCCCAGGTCAGGTTTGTTTCTGGCACAGCGGCTGCTCGTAAGATCGCCATAAATTGCAGGATTAGAATTTAGAACATATGGTCATTCATACATTGCGAATCTTTTGAACCTCGCTGCACTGATTGCGCGTAATGGCCTCACTCGATAATCCCAATCCCTGTCCATTTATGCTGCATGTTGTCATTATTAGAGGGCAGAGAGTCAGAGGCTCGGTAATATATAAGGGCCATTTTGATGTTTTTAGAAGACACAAGAAAAAGGAGAAGAAAATGTCAGGAGTATACCTTTTTCTCGGCCCTTTGGCTGCGCCACAGGGTAAGCAGCTGCCCTCGTCATTTGCTCATCTGCAAGGGTGAGCCCCCACTGGTGCCGTGTTTGTGCTAGAAAATATGAACCTGGTCATAAAATGGTCATGTTTGTGCTTAGAACATGGGATGTCAGTGGTCAGTTCACGGCATAAGCATGATCAGAATCAGTTCTTCTATAAACTACTTTTTTCAAGTTTTTTGCCTATAAATAACTGCTTTTTAAAGTTTTTTTTTTCTTTTTTTTTTATCAGAACAGATACTACACTTGATCTTAGCCAAAAGGCCGAGAAAATCCCTGCTTTTTTTTTATTTTAACTAACCTATATTCTTCTCTCGACACACAGCTTAGCAATCCACTACAGTGTTTTTTTTTTTTTTAAGTTTTTTTTTTTTTCCTAAGTTAAGATTTTTTTTTCCAAGGCCAAGTTAAGAAGCCACATCTGCTCTGTGCGGGGAGCAGCACCCAAGCTTCGAACACCAGGCGCAAGCTGGAAGGCGCAAAAGGTCGCTTCCCAGCCAGCCAGCGAGGAGGCCCAAGCCAATTATCTCCGCTGGAGAGCCCGCAGCGCATCACAGGAGCCCGTGGGGATATAATAGAGTGGACGCCGTGGGGAATCGAACCCCCACAACCTCCTGCAAACCACTTCTGTGCTCAAACCTACTGATCTAGCCCGCTTGGGCATCACCGCTTTTTTCTATTACTTTATCAATCATCAATAGCAATTTTAAAATTGCAATGGGAAATGGATGGCAATTTGTCCTCCTCCGGTTCCTTTCATAAACGACCAAGCAATACGTCTTCGTCATCCTTCCTACTGTGTTCATCCGAATACAACACACTGTCATTATATCTGTATTCGGGGCAGCTTCGAGTCTAGATACAGCAATAATGACCGTACGTTGTATTCGGGTGCACCACAGTAGGGTGAGATGCCACTATAGCAACAAGGTTTCTTTGGTCCTGGCCATGAGCTTTCCAAGACTGACAGCCACAATGGACAAGCCAGGGTGGTGGGACCTTGCCCCTGGGTTCTACAGGTTGTTGAAGGTAGTCCTTTAGAGGTGCCACCATTCTTCAGGCTGTAATGGGGGTATAGGCATCCAAGTGCGTTCCAATTGTATGTGCTTAACTTCCCAGTGGAATAGGAACCAGACTGGTACTCCCAAGAATCGACACGAGCAACGGCGGTGAAGGCCCTTCAGTTCCCAAACAAATACAAGATTCTGAGGTGCAGATTGATGTAAGCCTTCTAAGGCCCTTTCATTTAAAAGAGGTGCAGATTGGTGTAAGCCAAGCCTCGCAAGGCGGATATTTAAACTACTGGAACTGTTCAGAGCAAAGTTAACTCATAGTGGGACTTTACTGCGTGCGCGTAGCTTTCTAAAGTACAAGTCCAAACTATGGGAGGTTGGTCATATCACCCCCCATAGTCGGGCACCAAAAGATGTTGGGGAAAGGAAAAAAAGATAGTCCCACCGTGCGTATGACCTATAAGGGGGGGGGAGTTCAGGGTCATGTCAAGGAGGCGATAAGGTGAGGGGACTAAGGGAGACAACCGTGCCGCTTCAGCAATGTCTGGGCTGAGCGGTGCCGCAGGGTGTCCAAAGTGTTTTTGTTTTTGTTTAATATGTTTATGGAAAACTAGGAGGTCTGTTTTTCTGGGCACCCTGCTTCTCTGGGAAGACACCCGAGTTTCAGGTGTGGTGCATTGGCTGCTGAGGCTCCATCGTTCCGTGGGGAGCATCACCTGCCGACAACCAACCAGGGTCAGCATCCCTCGAACGACAATGATGTGATTGGACAGGAGTGGGGCTAGGAGGGGGGGTGTCTTCAACTTCGACTGGAGGCCTCAAAACAACAATGATGAAATGTATAGAACAGGTTCATGTTTTCATTGCCAATCTTTGTTTACCTTGAGCCCTGGCAAACATAATAGCTGATTTCTGAGTATCACCGCCCGATTGCTGTGCCCAGTGGGTGGGTGGTGATCTGAGGATCGCTGCTCGATTACTGATGATCACTGCAAGAATCATGTGCGCCTATCGAGTGGTCGGTGATTCGAGGATCAGCTGCCGATCTCGGAGGATTACCAGGCAATTCCTGTGTGAGGGGGGGATTATCCGAGGATTGCAGGCCAACTTTTTGATGATGACCCTGCCCGATTCCTGTGCCCATCGAGTGGGCGGTCATTGGAGGAATAACCACTCAATTTCTGAGGATCACCTCTCGACTTCCGAGGATCACTGCCTTATTTTCCAAGGAGTACTGCCCTATTTCCGATGACACATTGCCCAATTTCTGAAAGAGGGGGGATTATCTGAGGATCACAGGCCAATTGTTTTATGGTGACCCTGCCCGGTTCCTCTTATCGATCGAGTGGCCGGTGATCCGAGGAACAACCATCTGATTTCCGAGGATAACTGCTGGACTTCTGAGGACTGCTGGCCGATTTCCACCGAGCACCACCTGATTCATGTGCCCATCGAGTGGCCGGTGATCCTTCAAATCTGTTTGATCATATTCTGCCTTTGCCACTCTGCTGATCAGCCTCGAACCTTTACCCTCTGGATAGACAATTCCAAGCTCCCACCTACTGAGCCACAGCGACATCTGGTTTGTGAATGTGTCGTACTAGACTGGGGGACAAGTACGTGGGGTGCCAACCTAGCACCAACTAATTGTGCGCAAGAGAGGCTGAGGGCTTTGACCCACAACCTCCCCGTTGCAATGCCAGAGCTCAACCCACTGAGCTACCAAGCACTTTCTTACCAACTGGTTATCTCCATGGTAAGGCACTAAGCATGCCGCAGACACAGACTTGGGGCAATGGGAATTGAACCCACGACCTGAATGCCGCTGGTGTGTCTTACCAACTGAGCTACACCCAGTCGGCAGCTGCCTGACGTTCTTGGTCCATGGGTTGACCATAGTGTATGCTGGGTGCACTCTCTATGGATTATAGATATTTAGTGGGGTACGATAGATTAGAGGGGGTTATTGTGAAAGGTTGTGCAGATACAAGTCTGTTAGGATGCTCCCATGTTCTGTGCAGTCTTCAAGGCATGATATAATGATTGGCAATTTGTTATTATTAATGGAGAAAAGATTGGACATTCTTTTTCCCTCTGAATTGTTAGGTTGTTGAAGTAAGTTAGAAGGGTTATTACTGTGTAGGGGCTTGAGCTTCGTCTATACCCGATGATCCTGCTACGGGCTAGACTTAGGGGAGTCGTTAGTCACGAAGGGTACCGTAGGGGTGATGCCGAACAGCTGCACTTCACCGACAGAAGCCGTAGGTAACTCCCACTTGGATATAGGATGGCCTCAGGGGCATCATACATGTTAAAAGTGGGGAGGTGGGTATCTGGCATCAAAGTAGAAAGGCACTATAGTCGCCGATAAAGTCTGCTTGATGGGATGCAGGATTCCCTCCTGACTGGTCGTCCTAGGTGCCCTTGTAGATTGTGCCGCTGTAGTAGGCTCAGCTTGCCATGGGGTATATTCCTCTTCTTCATCTTTTTCTCCTCCTCCTTTTCAGGCGACTTGTTGGAGATAGATAGATAGATAGATAGAGAGAGAGAGAGAGAGAGAGAGAGAGAGAGAGAGAGAGAGAGAGAGAGAGAGAGAGAGAGAGAGAGAGAG